CCCGATTACGCGCACCATGCCGTATTTCGGCTGGGAGACCGTAATCGGCGTCTGGAGACGCCTCCTACAGTTGGAGATTCTATCCTACGACGCCCTTCAATAGCACGCCGGCTACGTAGGCGAGGGCGGCTGCGGCGCCGCCGACTGCTAGGGTTTCGGCGCCGCTGACGGTCCAGTGGTGATCGACGAAGCGGGACTTGGCGGCGCCGACGGCGACGAAGGCGACCGCGGTCATGATGGTGCTGGCGAGGAAGGGGCTGCTGGAGACGTTGCCCCGGGCAAACTCCCAGAGGAAGGGGAGCAGCGGGATGAGGCCGACCAGGAGGAAGGCGACGAACGTCGTCCACGCCGCACGCCAGGCGGAGGGGCTGGAGAGGGGGAGGCCGTGCTCTTCTTGGAGCATGGTGTCGACCCAGCGGTCGCGGTCGCTGGTGATGACGCGGACGGCGTTCTCGAGGTCGGCCCCCTCAAAACCCTTGGCGGCGAAGATCTGGCGGACCTCTTCGCGCTCGCCCTTTTCGTAGCGCGCGATGTGCTCTTCTTCGAGCCGGCGGGCGCGGGCGCGGAGCTGTTGTTCGGCGCGGGTGCCGAGGAAGTTGCTCGCCGCCATGCTGAAGCCGTCGCCGACGAGGTTGGCCGCGCCGAGGATGATGATGATCCCCGGCGAGAGGCCCGCGCCGGCGACGCCCGATACGACGGCGAATGTCGTCACCGCGCCGTCGATGGCGCCGTAGACGAAATCCTTGAGGTAGCTATGGCGGAAGCCGAGCTCGAGCCGCTGGGCGATCGCGGACGGCTTGTGCTCGTCGATGTGGGCGCGGAGGTTTTGGTCGGTGAAGTCGAGGACGTTCTCGATGTCGGCGAGGCCGGCGTGTTCGCGGAAGCTGAGGCGGCCTTGCGAGCGCAGGTCACGCAACAGGTTCTTTGCGGCGGGCGACAGCGCCACGGCGACCGTCGAACGCGGGAACTGCGTCGAGGCTTGGTAGACATCGGCGAGAGCGTCGGCCCAAGTCGAGTCATCGCCGAAGTCGGTGATGACGAACTTCTCGCCGCGCAGCTCGCCCGTCGCTAGCCCACGCCGCCACGTCTTTTCGTCGATCGAATCCCAACGCACGGCGGCGACCTTCTCTCGTCATCGAAATGCCGACAGCCGACAGGCGACGGCCGACAGCCTTTCTACCCCTTCGCCATCAGCTCTTCGACAACTTTCGCGAGCAGCTGCGGGTCGTCCTTCGCCTTGAGGTGAGCGATGCGGTCGGGCTTGACGCCGACCTTTTCGAGGGCCTTCTCGATGTAGCCCCAGGTGGTCGCGCGCTTCTTCCCCTCGGCGAGGTAGAGGTCCGTCACCAGCTCTTGCAGCCGCTGGAGGCCGGAGGCCTCACGGTTGTCATAGAAGCTCTTGATCTTGCTCTGGACGTGCTTGGAGAACTGCTGGGCCATGGGTGAGATCGCCTGTGGTGCGCGGCGAGCCGTGGGGGCAACGCCGTTGGTCTTGTGTGCCGAGCCGCGTCAATCGGTACGAGGATTGTGCCCGATGGGTCGACGCAGGCCTACCGAATGCGGATTGCCGTGTGTCGCAGCGCAGTTTACCTGTTCGGCATCCCTTCGCCGGGAGTGAGCGTACCGCTGAAGGATCATCATCGGCAACAGGGCGGGGCCGCTGCCCAAATTTCTCCCCGCAGCGGATGACAGCGGCGACGGCTTTAGGTAGCGATGGCTACACCCCGAAGATCGAGAACTCGGGGGCGTATTTTACGGTCCCACTCGGGCGGGGTGCGGTCGGACCGAGCCAGAGAGCCTGAAAGGCGTCGCCGCCACCGTACTCGTCCACGAGGCCGTAGCGGCTGGCCGATTCGAAGCCAAACCGGCGGTAGTAGGCGGGCTCGCCGAGGACAACGACCAGGGGCGTCCGCAGCTCACGGCACCGATCGAGGGAGTGCTCGACGAGGGCGCCGCCGATTCCTTGGCGGCGATAGGCGGCGTCAACGGCGAGCGGCGCCAGACCGAGGCCGGCTACGCTGCGATCAACGGTGATGGGGCTGAGGGCGACGTGCCCGACGATTTGGTCGCCCGCGACGGCGACGATCGACAGCGTCAGGCGGCCGGCTTCACGCAGCAGGTCAACGAGGCGACCCTCGGCGGGCGTGGGGAACGCCGCTTCGTTGAGGCGCCGGATGGCGTCGAGGTCGTCGGGAGCTTCGTTGCGCAGCCGAATCTCGTCAAGCACTTCCAGCCTCCGTCGCGGCAATCGCACTGCCCGTGGTCAGCGAGTAAGATACCGGGGTTCACGAACCGGCGAGAACCTCTCAGTACGTCCTCGATGAAACAAATCATCGCCATAGTTAAGCCCTACCTGGCCGAGCGGGTCCTCGAAGGCCTGCGGCGGGCGCCGCTGGAGGCGTTGTGGGTCCACGAGGTGAAGGGGATGGGGAAGCAGAAGAGCTACCTCGACCAGTACGCCGGCGACGACGGCGCCATGGCGTTCTTGCCGAAGGTCGAGCTGTCGATGATGGTCGAAGACGCCCGCGCCGAAGAGGTGCTGGAGCGCCTCGTGGAGATCGCCCGCACGGGGCGGATGGGCGACGGGAAGATCTTCGTGCTGCCGGCCCAGCCGTACGAGCGGGTCGTGTCGATCTAGAGAAGTTAACCACAAAGGAACTAAGGAACGAAG